TGGTGTTGGTTTGTGGAGGGGCTGACGGCTACCATCCTCATGCTTGTTGTGGCTCGTCCATTCATTGCTGGCCCTCATCTTTGTTATGAATGTTGCCTGGTATCCTCTCCTCTCCATAGTATTCACAGTGTGTGTCACATTGTGCATACCAGTAGGCATGATGGCTTGTCATGTACACAAGTTTGCATTCTTGTTACCTCTTCCCTCATGTCCGCCCTCCCATCCGTTCGTCGTGCTGCCTTGCTGTGTGTGGGTACGATGGCTGTGCTGGGCGGGTGGCTGGCGATTGGTCCTTAGATGCATCAGTAGGAGCTGTGTGAGTGTGGTGGATGCTGTGTGGCTCACCGTCGTTCGTGGTTGTAAGTGTCTATGGCGAAGTCCTCCAAGGCATCCTAAGTACTCGTTGGCAGCCTGGCATTCTGAACTGACATCATTGATAATTAAGAATTGTAGGTGACCAAGTCCTTTAAGCTCCGCTTAGATGTTGTGAGGGTGCCGTGCAGCCGAGGATACTTGGGCGATTCCGAAACAGAGAGCCAGTCGCATTGCCGGACACCAAACTGCTGGAAGTTCCAATACTCGGATATTGTCAGTTTCCAGCAGTCTCCAGCGTTCTCCAGATCTGACTCGGCTAATTTTGGTTATTTTCCGGAGAGTCTCCAGAGAGTCTCCACCTGCAGGTTCAAACTTCTGTAAATTACTGATGCAAGCTTCAAGTCAGGATTGTGGTTCGGGAGCGCCAGGGAGCGCCTAACGACAAATTCCAATCGATGACGGAGTTCCACTCACCAACACGTGACGAACTTTGATTGTTGCACAGAAGCACACTTTGTCAGAGTCACTAACAATCGCAACTGACAGCTCAAGAATATTGATTGCTAGGTAAGAGATGAGTCGTGGCGATGAATAAACAATACTCGACGATACCTAGGTAAGAGAAGCTCAACGTTGGGGAAAAGAAAGGAAAGGGGTAAGACGACTACAACAGCTGAAACTAATTTGTTATTCACTAGGGTGGATCAGTATAGGAATCGACGGTCGATTTGGAGTCGATTTGACTGTCGATTTGGACACCCTAGCTTCGAAATCGAAAGTGAAATCGTTGAAGTCGTTTTCGCTCACCAGCTCCGGCAACTCTCGGCAGCAACGTCTGAGTTTGAAACATGTCAACACGTTTCTGTGTACAGGGCCTACGGTATAATGTCAACGCCGAACACTGCGCTTCCCTAATGACCCTAACCCTAATCCTAACATATAGTAGGTATTCTTGTTATTCCTAAACCTCATCCTGGCTTACTCAATAGCCCCTAACCCTCACCCTGACCTTATGTTATGTCAGTTATTATCTGCTCAGGAAACATTTACAGCTGCATGCAAAACGTTAGACCGCTTGGCCCTATGCTCCGCTCAGCATTTTTGTTTACATGTGGAGTAGTACAAACAGCGCTTATCCAAAAATAGTTGTCACACAGCTTGCTCACTTTCGAACTGGAGGGAATCCATCATGCCCTATGGAAATCGTCGACACATTCCACAAGCAGCGAAAGAGCAGATCGTCACAATGTCTGCTCATATGCGCCCGAGTCAGATTGCTCAGGCTACTGGAATCAGCACGAGAACCATTCGCCGCACGAAGGAATTGTGGTGGAAGACAGGCGCAGTGCAGCGAAATCCGATCCAGCAAGGTCGACCAAGAAAATTGAACTCCCTTGACCTTGCGGTACATTCTCACCTAGAGTCAGAGCTTCGAGTCAACTCATATCATTCTAGTTTCTCGAAGGCTGTATTGAGCGCACACCAGACATCTACATCTCAGAACTACGG